CCTGCTGTGCATCACTGGCATGCTGCTGGGCGTGCTGGCGTGCGGGGTGACTGGCCAGCGTGCGTGATACGCTGCTGGCGTGCGTACGTGCGCCGCGCGACACGCTGCTGGGCGTGCGATGCGTCGCTGTGTACGCGGACTGAGTGGACGGTCGCGGTAACGCGTTGCCGTGTGTGTGTGCGTGCACTGTGCACGTCTACGCATACGACTGCGGCATCGCGACGCTTGGTTGCCGAGTACTAGGCACGCGTGCGCGTTACTGTGCGCGCGGACACTGCCTGCGTACTCGCTGGGCCTGCCGGGCATGCCTGCGCGCACGCTGTGCGCGATAGGCATCACGGTCGGCATTTCGCCGGCCGTTCGGCTACTTATTCCGGCAATCCACTTATGACTGGACATGATTTGACTTAAACTACTTAAATATGCATAAAGTGTTCGGGACTTGCCAGTTAAAAATTGAAGTTACTCGGAGGGAGCTTATATGGCATATCCGAGGGCCTTTTCATATGAAACTTGAATCGAACAACAAGATTCCGACATGATCTCCTTACAATGAACTGAAATACATATAAAGAGGGTAAACAAGAATGTACCCTTCAGTTTGGATGAGGATTGTACAATAATGTGCGTGTGTGTTCGGTGCTCCGCCAATGTCCTTGTGCTTCTCCTTTGCTTCGGCAATACTTAGATATTTTAGTGTGATTTTTCTAAAATATTTTCCTCACTATTTTCCCTCTTTTAGTACGCTGAAGTTGGCTTACGTTTAGTGCATGAAATGCTTGGAAAGGACGAACTAGCTCGGTTATTTATTGTTGGTGAAAACCGTGGGTGAAGGTGTGTCAAAGGAGGTGAAAGATGACCACACCTCCCTTGGTTACAAGTGTCCGAAACGTGGCTGATGTGGGGCGTTCTTTAGCATAGTCACGGCCGAGGTGTCAAGCATGCACGGGCTTAGTCATCGCCCGTGCGTGCGTGTCGTGCCATGTGTTAAGCTACTAGGTGAATCATCACCACAACTTGCAACCCAACCTCACCCCTTTAACTTTCTTCACGGCAATTTGGAAGATTAAGACTTAACTTACTTAATCATGATCATGGCGCTTAGGGGAGTATAAGCGAGTGCTTAGCGCCTAATAGTGCACGCGTATGCGCTGCGCGCGGCGTGCGCGCTATGCGCGTTCGTGTGCGTAGCCGTACGCACGACGTGCGTGCACAAGTGCGTGCATAGTGTACCTTGTGCATTTATGCCTTAACTTGCTTTTTGACTTTATAATTTAATCCGAACATTCTTAACTTTCAATGCCTTAACTTGCTTTTTGACTTTATAAAATAAACAGTTCAAAAATTAATTATCGAATTGACTCGGTTAATAATTAACCGGATAAACTTTTCGAGTTAACATCGAACTTATTTGTTAAAAATGAACGGAATCGATAAAAGATAATACATCATTTCTATTAACAAGAAGTTGGGTTATTACATATTAGATCTTCTAAAGCAATAAGGAAAGTAAATATACTAGAGTCCTAATTAAGCTAATAGTCTTGCTCTCCAATTCTCCTTGCCTTTCACTCGAAGTAGCCGCCTCCAACCTGCCACCCTAGCTCGCGCGCCGCCTCACCGCCTCGTCCTCGCCGACTTCCGCCTACGCGTGTGCGCCAGCGTCGAGCATCCCTATGCCCACTCGGTCGCGGTCGTCTCACGCATGCGCGTCGCCTGTCTCGCCTATGCCTACCCAGCTTAGGCCGCCTGCGTCCGCGCGCCATTGCGCGCTCCCCGCCTTCATCGATCGCCTCGCGCGCTCGCCATTCCTAGGCCTACAAGGCCTAGGCCTTCGCCTGCGTGCCAATCGCCTACCGCGCACCCCATTGCGCCCAGCGCTGCCCCGCGTTCGCCCCACGCCCAAGGCGCATCGCCGCTTGTCGCCCCATTGCACGCATCATGGCCGGATGCGTGCCACTTGCTTATTTGCCCTTAGGCCACGTCCGTCCATCTGCATCCGTCCGGTGGCCCACAACAATCGCCCGCGTGCATCTTCCACACCTCGCGCGCCCATTCTCTTAGCCTCTATTCGCAAGCGCGTCTCTTCCTCGCACAAGGCCCGCCCCAATTATTCCTCCCATTAGACCTCGACTTGCGTTGCCCCTTAGCTTGCTTGGCCTTGTGCCTCTTTGACCTTGTCCTTGACCTATCGCCACTACCTCTCGGCCAGTCTCGCCTACAAGAAGGCCGATAATCCCCACCATGTGGTTCCTCGAGCATGTTCTCTAGCCAAATATCGAGATCATCGCTGGTCTCTTCCTCGGACTCGCCAGGGTTAATAACCACTTTCGTATCAATGCACTGCGCCTGCGCGCGTCGCACGACTGGGCGAGCGTGCTGACTGGCACCTGCGTGTGTTGGTGTTATATACTTAAGCTTTGCTTTAGTGGATATTACACTTGTTATTTCTTGATGAATGAGAATTATGTTTGGTTAAATAAGTTCCACGTTCTGTTGTTTTGCATGTAGATTAGTGGGTCGTCATCGGGCGTATCGAAGATCACTATATCAGTTACTTGCGAAACAAGAATCATTGGTTCACAACCTAGATGGAATTGAACAACCCATCAGAACGGTTGTAGTGTCAACCGTACGGTTTGTCTTGACCGATTAGTTGCACTAGTACATTTATGTATTGAACAGGATCCCAGAGAGGGATGTTCGTTTTATACTGATCGTCATAAACGAACTAGGCCTCAGTTAATTATTGCGTGCTCTTAACCCGTAAGATATTAAATAGACATGTGCACATAATTGTTGTTGCTTTGATTCTTTGGGTGAGATCCAAGCCGGTCGACATACTTAATGAATTGGGTAATGACATTATGTGTTCGATGTGCTATTAGGATATTTACGGTCACCATGTGCGTTAGTCTGATGATGTCCCCGAAGTGAGTTCATGAAGGAATATTATGCTAAACCCTGCAGGTGGATTTATTCTGGCATAATATGAATGCTATGAGCGAGCGCTAGCTTCGGTAATATAATATATTAATTAATTCTTGATTATTAGTGATCGAATTAATTAATGGACATTATATCTTAAACATGGGGAGGTAAATCGAATAATTATAATAAGGAGTCTCAAATGTAATTTGGGATAGGTGAAGGGAGTGCAATAATATTATTGTGGTGGACTTTAATATTATTAATATATTAATTGTGGGGTTGCTCCACAGTATTAATATATTAGAAGCCCTTATCCTATTCTCCTTAGGGTCCCTACTGTAGCTCTATATATACAGCATTAGGCTCTTGGAAGAGACAATCCCATAACCCAAAAACACGTCCGCCCATCTCTCTCTCTCTCTTCCAAGGAGTTGTTCTATTTCTTGTGCTTCACTGATACAAGATCTAGATAGTTGTTTGAGAATACAGTAGAAGATCTTAAGGTATATGCGGGATTCTATTCAGATCTATCATCTATCATCCATCCAAACCGGAGACCAAAACCAGCAAGTGACCATACCACAACGACCAGGATGACGAGTCGAAGAGATCACCGTCGAGATCGCTGCCAGCCGCCGCCGCACGCGCCCACACGCGCCACCAGAAGATCGCAGCTGCTGAGACTCACACGCGCGCGTGAGAGCGCGTGGAAGCTCCGATTTCCGATCGGTCAACGCCGTTGACTTCGCCGTGACGCCAGCTTTCTGGATTGGTCAAGTTTGTTCGATTCCGAGAAGATTTGATTTGCGGTCATCTGTTCGGGCCAGTCAGATTTACATAAATTTTAAGTCGTAAGTTTCCTACATCAAACCTTTAGATCCGCTGCGCATAGGTTTATGTTTGAATGTTTGTCCGTGATTTGTGCATATCGAGATCCTCATAGGTCCCAACAATTGGTATCAGAGCCTGAGGTTAATCCATTATGTACAAGATCCGGATTAAACGGCTTATATTGTCTATGTGTGCTCAAGCGCAGCCATATATATTGGATTATTTGCATAACTTGGTTTTGCAGGAAGTAGTTAATCCACTATTATGGCCACCCTTTTATGTGCTTGTGCTTTTGATGGTTGCTTGTATGGTTTTAAATTTGTTTTTAAAGCCTCGGGATTGTCGAGGAATTATGGATGAATGCTTGTATTAATTGCCCGGGGGTTGACCGGATAGTTTAATTTATTAGTAGAAGGCATGTACATCCACTCGCTAGATCTTGGAATCGATTTATGTAATTTTGTAAATTATATTTTTCGAATTGTGATCGACCGTTGGAGACCGGGCCTTCACAAAGATCCAAAGAGCCTCGATGGACAAAGCAAGGAAGAAACTGGAGCCGGGAGCGGGCGCGCACGGCTCGAGCCGGGTGGCTCAGCCCGGCTCGCGTTTTAATTAAAAAAAATAAAATAAAATATTTCGACCACCGGGATGGCGGCCGGCGGCCGGCGGGACGACCGGAGGACCTCGGAAACATCCATGGTGGAGGTTTTGTGGAACTTGCAGTACAAGTCAACCGAGATTCTACTACAGTGGGAGTTCCAGTTGGTTTAAGAAAGAAATCATAATCCAAGGAGAATAAATATTTAATTGGCCATAATAGTAGATATTTATTTATGACATTAATTATTTATTTGTTTATTCATGCATGGAATTAATTGTTGCCTTGTGTGCATAGGGTTATTTAGAATTGCATGAATATATTAAAAATCCTCATTTAAATACTAAGTTGAGAAGGATATTTAAAGTTAAGATAATTTTAAATTCCTAAGGCCTTCATTTCTAATTCGTTGGTAAATCAATTAATTGATAGTGTGGGCTTCCCCGAGGATGACATTACTTGAAATTAATTGAAGGATAATTATCAGAACGAATTTCTAAATTTAGACGGTTAGAGGAAATCGCATAAGAGCGTACGGGTCACCCCGAGGTGAACGTATAATCGATTTTGACAACCTTAGGACCGAGAAATGGGATTCACTTAGAATGCGATTCATTTCATAACCCCCCGAGGGGTCCCTGATTTTTATTGCATGGCCAAACGGTGACCGACTATTAATTTCGTTCGTCATGAAATTGGTTTTGACTAATGGAAATTAATGGGTTCTGGAAAAACCCTTCTTTAAAGAAACGAAGAATTAGTAGAGTTGCCCGAGCATCACACTAAAGTCTCAAGGTTTAAGGATGTCGGTGAATTTAAGTTAGTATTGTTTTGAGGATGTCAATATTAAAAGTTAAATTCAAAATGTTTAATCAGTAAAATATTTTCGTAATTCTCAGGTTTATTCATCATGTCGTTCAATCCGTTGTCTGTTATCCTAAAAGAAAATCAACTCACCGGTCCTAATTACATTGATTGGAAAAGGAACTTAGACATAATGCTGA